GTGGGGGCCCCTGGGGAGGGGGGGGCCAGGGCTGTGGGGGCCCCTGGGGAGGGGGGTGGGGGCCCAGGGCTGTGGGGGCCCCTGGGGAGGGGGGGCACCCTCCTGATGCCAGCCCTGCTGCTTCCTGCTTCCCAGGACTTCAACAGACACCTGGACACGCTGACCGAGCACTACGACATCCCCAAAGTCAGCTGGACCAAGTAGAGCGGCCGTCCACTCCCACCCCCTGCCGCCCAGCCTCCTCCAGACTCCTGCACCCCTCCCTCCCATCCCCCACCGCCCAGCCTCCTCCAGACGCCCAGCCTCCTCCAGACTCCCGGCCTCCATCCTGCATACCCCTTCCCATCTCGAGGCTTCCAGATCTGAAAGAGCCCTTGGCAGTTCTCAGGGGAAAGCTGGCCTTACCCACCCGAAGGGTCTTTTTGAGGTGGGATCCTGGAAGAGGCCCAGTCAGCTGCCCGCCAGGTGAAAAGGAGACCCTCACAGACCTCCTCCACGGGCAGCTCCAAGACCACCCTCACCCACCGCTTTCCACCAAAGTGGGACTCCCCGCCCAGGCTCCCACAGCCATGGACGCTGGGGCCAGGCAGGCCGCGGGCAGAGCTGCCACCCAAGACAAGGGCTGGCCCTTCCCTGCCCATCACCGCCATGACGGACCTCCCTGATGCAGGGATCAGTGGGGTGAGGACCGCGGCAGAGCCACCAGCCACCCTGGACCCAGGCCCAGTATGCACGCAGCTGCCCCGTGTGGGGCCGCGCGGCTCCCTGGCCTGAAGACAGTGACAGGAGCAGGACACCGAGAGGACACAGAGTCAGAGCAGGTGATGCTTGGGGCCTGGGCCCAGCCCTGGACGACCGAGGTCTTTGAGGGCCTCCAGCTACCGTGTGGTCGGACTGCACCTGCTGCTGACAGACCCTGAACCAGTCAGCAGCCCCAGGATAAAGCCTCAGGCTGTGTGTAACCTGCATAATAAAGCCTGCCAGAGCTTGCAGGAGAAGGCCACCGAGTACTGTCCACCGACAGGGTGTGGTGCTGAACCTGTGTGTGCAACTCCCTTGGCTATTTTGGGCAAGGCCAGTGCTCTACCACTTTGAGCCGTAGCTCCACTTTCAGTTTTCTGGTGGTTATTGCAAATAAGGGTCTCTCCGATTTTCCTGCCTGCGCTTGCTTTGAACCACGATGGTCAGATCTCAGGCTCCTGAGAGGCCACTGCTGCCTCCTGGAGGAACTGTTCTGTGTAGGCATGGAAGGGAGATGGCAAATGCTTGGCACTGGCCTTCCGTACTGTAGACCCTTTGGAGTTTGGAATATTTGCATATTGAATATGTGCATATGTGTAATGAGATATATTTTTAAATTGTGGTCATGAGGCTTTCATGGTGTGTAATTCTGTTTGCATCCTATTTTGGGTTTGGAACCGTTTTGGCTTAAGGGTGGCTGCTCCATACTCTGATTAGAAGCGTTCATTTTGAGGGGCTGGGGAGGTGGGGCTCAGTGGTAGAGCGCTAGCCTTGCATGCCTGAGGCCCTGGGTTCGATTCCCCAACACCCCATAAGCAAAAAGAAAAAAAGCCAGAAGTGGTGCTGTGGCTCAAGTGGTAGAGCGCTCGCCTTGAGCTGAAGAGCTGAGGGACAGCGC